AGACGGAGCCGGAGACGAGGTCGCCGAGGAGGTGGAGGTTGTGGTGCCAGAGGAGGAAGCAGACGTGGAGATCGGGGGTTGAGGGGGGACCAGCTGGGTCGAGCACAAAGTTAAGGATGAAGGTGAAAAGGAGGAGGTTTGAAGGACTTGGGTTCTCCCTGGCAAGTACATTGATCAAAGATTGAGAGGGGAATGACAGAGAGAAAATGAGCTGAAAAGTGCAGGCTGCCGGCTGGACGAGTTGTTGTTGTCACACGGTGCAGAGGGGAGGAGCTCCGGAAACTTGAAATACCCTTTGAAGCCGCAAAAACCTCACTCACTAGTATTAACCCAAATTATCCAACCAGGAACTCGGAGCAGAGACTCCGAGAGCGCGAGACATTGAGGGAGAGAGAGCGTGCGAGAAAAGGGGGAGGGGAGGGGGAGGATACGGAAAGAAACTGTGGGAGGGAAGGAGAGCCAAGCCGGGGACACAGTAGTGGCGATCGGAAAAGGAGAGGGAGATCATCTACTTCTCTTCTACTACTACCGTTAGATTGCCTGTCTAATATTCCATTTCGTCCTAGACGACTTGTATTTTTTTTCCCCAAAAGCTCCTGAGCAATCGCCTGGGAACTTAAAGAGGAGCTGGAGCGCTCGGAGCTCTTTCAAGGCTTGAGGGTCTATCTCCGCGCGTTTGGGCAATGAAATATAAATAATATCCCCACCCCCAGGTCCTGATTTAGAAATTATTTTGAAACAAATGCACATAGAAGCAAGACGTGATGTGCTTATGAACCTGGTTATTTTATTTCGCGGTAAAATTACTTATTTATATAAAGACCGTGAACATTCCAGGACAGTTTTCAAGTTAGGGGAAGAAAGTCAGCCCGAAACTGTTTAAAAATAATGGAATGCTCTCTGTTCAGTTCCTTATTTCCTAATGGAGTGTGGAAAGAAATGCTTGCCAAGATGTGGCCCGACCGTGTAGAATAACTTCACTTTCTCCCCAAAGGCAGGTTAGAAATGCGAATTCAAAGAGGTCAGGCACCCTTGGTGATTTTAAAAAGTGGAAAACAAGAACCCACTGATTTTTCTAACCCAAACTAATTAATTCACCTGTCTCACACAGTAACCATCCATCCTCTATCGTTTTTTGACCCTAGGCTCCTTGCTAATGTGTTGTTTGAATATCGCAGTAGGTTGTTTTTGTTTTGTTTTCTCGCATCCTATTTGAAAAGTATCATGATGTTTTGGGAAAGTCCTTTTTATGTTAACAATGAAAATGTGGTTTGTAAATAAGAAGAAAAGCAAAACCAAGAGGTAGTATTTGACTTGTAAAGCCAGAAAGTGTAACTGTGCTTAAAACAACATTCAACTGAGTTTAGACTGAATCTTTTCCTCCTGCCCTTCCTCTCTCCTCTTTTTCTCTTTTCTAACTTGTTGCACGAGTCATTTATTAAAAGATTGTTGACTAACAGATGATTTGAGCTTAAGTCAAGTCTGGTTGCTGCTTATATCTCTAGGCATCTTACATAGTGAGGCTCTGAGCCTGTCGACTCACGTTCAGTTAACTTCACAAGGTCTGAAACAATGCTTTAACATTAGACAGATGTTAAAAATAAACTATTAGTAGCAGGTTCACAGGGTTGGAAATTTCAAAATAAAATTTCTGTCATTTTGGTGTTGAAATTATTATCATGTATCTCTTCATCATTCTAATTCTTTAAATTCTTTGAAGTTCAGTGTCAAAAAGTCCAGGAACTAGCAGCAGAGAAATATGACACTATTGACTAATTAGTCTAAGTTTATGCTAAACATTTTAGGGCATAGCAGTTATAGCAGGAGACTTTCCTGTATTATACAAATTCAGAACATTGATTGTTGCAGGAAAGCAGATAAACTTCTAGAAGCGTGACCAAAGTTTACACAGTTGTTTGGCCTAGTTTGCCTATGTACTTTGACATATTCAGAAAATTTTAAAATTAATTTCACAGTCCTCAAATCTGTCCCCTATTAAAAGTAGGAATTATTTATATAAACGTGTGTCAAAATGCTTCTCTCAGTGTTTATACATGTGTTAGGAAAATACTGCCTGTTCAAAAAAAAATGCCACTTTATTAATGAGAGAGGGTAAGGAAGAAAGTATTAAGCCCTAAAACAGTAATGTTTATTTTGGACTTGTATGCCTTACTTTAATAAACTCCAATATGGTTTTAAAAGGCCAAAGTACAAATGGAAAAGAATGGGAATTAAATGCTGAACATCTTCCCTTAGTCTTTTTTGCATTTCCTTAAACTCCCCCAATACCTGTCACATCCCTCAAACACAGACAGGAAGTGATGGTAGCAGACCAAGCCATAATCCCACTGCGTTTCCAAGCAAACTACAAATTTCCTCCTGCAGGGAAACCTGTGCCTCAGAGCACATGCCTCACTCAGAGGCAGGGCTAGGGGCATTGACTCCCACCTGAGTGAGAGCTTTCCCCAACCTCAGGTCTCTAAACCATTTCAAGGAATCACCACTTATGCTTTTGATCAAACAATAGGGTTACAAAAGTTGTATAATGCAAATTACAACATGCAGGAAAAAAGCACCTTGAAAAATGTTCAGGTTTCTTTCTCTTTCTCTCTCTTTCTTTTGAGAAATATTGTCAATGATTAAGGCAAACAGTATTTAACAAGAGCAGATAAATCAATTTGAAAGAGATTGCAAATTCTCACTCCATTGCCTCTTTGGCTTTCAGAGCTTTTGTCTTGTTTGTTTATTGTTTTACATCTCTGGTTGCTTCAGGTCCTCTCCCTCCATCTCATCTTCCCCAACCTTCACTCAATTTGCATACGCAAAACTCAAAGTACTGTAACTGATATTAGAAAATTCTCCCTGTGTTTTGTGAAGACGCATTGTGCTGAAATCAATAAGACTGTTTAAAATTCAAAGACCTGCAAATCGTTCTGTTTGTCCTTTGATAGGGCCTGTGCTGATTAAAATGCTACCAAGAAAGCTTAATTGCTGCACTAATTAAGAAGTCTTTAATTTCTTTCCTAGGATATCGTTTGAAGCTTAGCTTGTACCAGTTCAGGGAAGGTATTTTCTTCCCTCCCTCTGCCCCTTTCTGGCCCCTCCCCTCCCTTCCCTCCTCCTTC